GATTTTCTTTCCGATCGTGAAGACATCAAATCTTTTCTCGTTGTCGAGAACACTATCGCTCAACAAATTATGCCCCTCATCAGTGATATTCCTCAGTTGAATGGTGTTTATATCTTCAATAGTAGTGAATCTTTACATGAAGAATGGACAACAAAATGGCAAAAAATCAAGAGTGTTCATACCAACATCGATGACATGTGCGAAGCATTACAATCGGGCATCAACACATATAATCAGGATTCGATTGCTATGAGTTTTCTGACTGTAAATGAAGTGTCTTCAACTGCTAATTTAAACCAGCTAGACCCAACATTTATGTACACTCAGCTATTCAAAGAAATTCTTCTTAATCTAAAACACAATAGCCAGGCTACCAAGGACTTTGTTACTTATTGCCGACAAAATAATTCCGGATCGGCAATCAATATTGATCGATTCGAAAAAGAATACCATGCTAAATCACCTATTTGGTGGTATACTCACTTACCATTTATCTATTCTATGCTTAATTATGGTCTCCGAACAATGGACGCTGATATAATTATTACTATGGGTTTTTTCCTACGTGATGTACATGGACAAATTCAACAGTTATACGAACAGCAAGTCAGTAGTTATGGAAGCGAACCGTTTTTAGTTTATCGGGGACAAGGTCTTATGAAATCAGACTTCGAAAAACTTCAAAAAACCAAAGGTGGACTTATATCATTTAACAATTTCTTATCCACCAGTACAGATAAAAACGTGTCCATCGGTTTTGCTCATGGTGCATTGGGAAATGAAGATATGGTGGGTATTCTATTCATAATTTCCATTGATCCTAGTGTCAAATCAGTACCATTTGCCTCTATCAAGAAGCTGAGCTATTTTCAGGAAGAAAATGAAATTCTCTTCTCAATGCACACCATCTTTCGAGTCGGTGCAATTAACGTAATAGACAATAATAATCAACTTTATCAAATTACATTACAATTAACGTCCGACGATGATCAACAACTACGATTACTTACTGATCGAATACGAGAAGAAGCTAGTGGCGATACTGGATGGAAAAGATTGGGTAAATTATTGCTTAAAATTGGTCAATTTAATAAGGCTGAAGAACTTTATAACGTGTTACTCGAACAGACATCTGATGAGAGCAAAAAAGCGATTTATTATATTTGTCTGGGATCTGTCAAAAATGGTCAAGGTGATTATGAAAAGGCTATTTGGTATCACGAACAAGGACTTGAAATCTATGAAAAAACTCTTCCTTCAAATCATCCTGAATTGGCTGGCTCATACGGCAACATCGGTATCGTGTATAGCAACATGGGAGAGTACTCGAAAGCACTTTCATTTTACGAAAAGGCACTTCATATTCGACAAAAAACTCTTCCTTCAAGTCATCCCGATTTGGCTCGTTCGTACAACGACATCGGCGTGGTGTATAACAAGCTGAGAGAGTATTCGAAATCACTTTCATTCTACGAGAAAACCCTTAAAATCTTTCAAGAAACTCTTCCTTCAAATCATCCCCTTTTAGCTACTTCATGCATCAACATCGGTATGCTATATTTCAACATGGGAGAATACTCGAAAGCACTTTCATTTTACGAAAAAGCACTTGAAATTCAACAAAAAAGTCTTCCTTCAAATCATCCTGATTTGGCTACTTCATACAAC